AACTGCTATCTCCCTTAAAAGCTTATAGTCTATTATGCTTAAAGAAAACATAATCAACTAATACATGAACATACGCTTGTATTATTTAATAATATGGAGGAGCATGTTTACCTAAAATTTGCTTAACTTGTCTCTGCGTCTCCGCCTGTCGTGAACTTTTACTTCCCCAGGGCCGCTCATGGAGGCGTAACTGAAATTCTGACATGTGACTTTTTTGTGAGAAAGGACCACCTAGAGGAGGTTGAAATATCGCTTACCATGCTGCCTACTCCTTAGATATTTACGTCGCATCGGGACATCGGCATTTAAATGCGCGTCTTTCGGGCCTTATTAAAAACTGCCTCTTACGTGTTATTAATTTCTTCTTTTTATTTTCAATATTCTTTTAAATTCAATTATTTTGCAGAGGATTCTTTGCAAGAACAAACAGATTTTTGTCGATACTAGGATGCTCAAAGATCTGGTCACGAAACATGCCCGTCCCGTTGGACTTTTGAGCTCAAACTAGAGCACTTGCAGGCAGTTGAATAGCTACTTATAATGTATGATGAAGTGGAACCAAGAATTGCAAGAAAGAACGGAAGGGTCATCTCTGGCCTATGAGTCCTCAGCAGCCAGTCATTCCCAATTCCAGGGGGTGGCGACCCCCGAGATTTAAACCTGTGACCTTTGGTCATGAAGTGCAATGGTCTACGATTGTATCAAGGGCCCGCTGGCTTTGTCAGTTGCGATCCGGAATATAATGGTAATAGGGCACTCCTTGATATGCTCTTAAAACCGACGAATAACATGGAGCCATTAAGGCAATGCAAGTCATATAGGGTTTTCGGTAATCAGTCAACATTTCACAAGGCACTCTCACGAGCTTTACGTGAAATTAGTTCCATTTGCTAAATCACTTGGGGAAAAATATAGATAAAATCGGTTAAGAGAACGGCTTTTACGAAAAAAAACTATTCAGTATTAGATTCCTTAAATACTTGAGCAGAGCTATGATAGCTGTTTCTCCGACGTCCCGAAATAGATTATCCGTTACGTAGAGATAGTGATTTCTAATCAAACAAACACAAGCTGCAATATAATTCAAGTGATGTTCTTCAAGAAAAAACTAAACAGAAACCAACAGTTTATTGAAACCAAGAGCAAACAGTCTACTCAGTGCCGATGCGTTTATACAATTCAAAGAAATAAAAGAGATAAACCAGTTCGCTCTAGCACAAAATATCCATGCGAAAAGCAGTCTCATAATTTCGTTTGATATTTGATAACTCCGCTACAAATCTAAATTCAAGGGTCCTGGGCAACAAAAAACATAGACTGAAATATAGAAACATAGAATTTCGGCCCTGGATTCACTAAAAGATTTGCCGAAGTTACTGCAACCGATACAGTCAAGTGCAGCCAACTGGAAGGAGGAATGTTTGAAAGCTGACAGCGAGAACAGGAACATTCGTCACGGAGACGTGAGACGGCTCTGGTCCGCACAGGTAATTCTTTTTATTACTACCCCCCTCCTCCCCCTCCTTAAAAACAACTTGAAGCTTGGGGATAATAGGGCGTTTTTCACAACCACTGAGCTTCCCTTTTCTGTACCGGAAAATCCCAACTAGTAATCTCATGTGCTGTTTTTTTTCAAGGGAATTCATGTAACAGAGTTCTGATGGCAATTAACACAACCACAGGTTGTCTGTGGACTCGTGCTATCTCAAATTTTTTTGAAATAACAGAAACTCGTAGTATTTTGCGCCTGATATATTGATCCGTGTTGGCTGCCTCTAACGACTGGTGTGAGCGGGAATTCGGGGAAAAAGGTAACCAAAGTTCCTGTTCGAACACTCACGTTTCTCTGTTTGCAGCAAACTTGTTGAACGCTAGAACGGTAAAGTAGAGAGAGATTCAACTCCGTCTCTAACATAGATGCCAGTGTAATCATCTGGAGTTTATATATCAGAGTACCTTGCGTGCAGTGCTCATGAGCCGAACCCCTTTTGCTTGCGTCAAGCAGCAATGAACTTTAGATGAAACACATCTTGAGACGCCTGACCACTAGTTACGTCAAACTTTTGGTGAAATCGCCACTTTATAACTGTAAAATAATACGTAGTTGCGGAAAATATGTGGTTACTTTGGGGTTGCCCAATACACCATGCGGACAGAAGATGTACCAGTTAAATTATCACACACGTAATTCATCGATATTCTGTCGCTACAAGGCACAGAGGAGGCTCATGAGTGGGTCCCCATCATTTCCCGCGTGCTTTCTGGTAGTAGATGCTGGAGAACCCAATGATGAGGTGAATCCCTCACAGTTATGCCATGCAGTGGCAGAATATCGGCAAAACGCGTATTCGGACTTTAAGCTAGTACACCTACTGCCAGTAGGGCGTATAGTGTGTCCTCAATTTATACTACTGACTGTCTGTTTGGAGTCAAATATGTGTTATATTAACATTTAGTATTTTTACTTATTTTGTATTAATTTACCTCTTTTTGTGCTCGCTTACCTTAACCAAATTTATATTTAACATTAGATCCGTGACCTATAGTATAGCCATTATCTGAATTTAGAGTTTTTATTGAAAGCTATTCATATTTTAGTAAACAGTAAGTTATGAACCAACATATACCTTTTTTTACTTATGATTCTTAATTTACCACTGTAAAACTTGGGGACGCCGCATGCGCTTATTTCGCGCAACAATAATTTTCTTTTTTTTACTAAGGGAGTTCATAAGACAGACAATTTATTGTACGATTGTGCTGCAACGGCAGCTATAGATATCCAATTTATAGCTGCGCGTGATGGCCCTAGAATATGCTAATCTTTTCAGGTTACAGATTAATACCTTGGGAAATTAAAAGGCTACAATGTACTTATTTCACAGATGTCGTAAGATTCGCGTCCTAAGTAAGCGTTAGGCGATTTTACCTGTAACCCATTCCTGTACCAAAGCAAGGCATTATTAGCTTAATATTAGGTAAGGTAAATTATATAATACTTAATATTTCCTGCTGGGTGACTAGTCTGGCGCTGTATAGCTATAAGCGCACTTATTTTTTTCGTCCACTATAATGCGGTTTTAACCGCACGATAAATTATGAGAAATTCCGCTTCTATAGACAAATATTCACCTAACTGCCTTTGTCCCACTCCCATTTAAGATTTACTCAGAAGTTTGTCTGTTTGAAAAGCTATTAAATGCAATGTCAGTGTATACATACTGGCCCAGAGATATCAGAGTACTAAGACCGTAACTCTTGTTCCCATGGAAGATGAGCCGAATTTACTAATTAAATATAGCTGGCGCTTATAAACAGAAGATTTAAGCTCCGTCGAAACACGCTTGACTTGCTCATTTAAGACATCGCTAAAGAGGAAGCTTTTAAGTACACATAAACCCTTACCGAAGTTGTTTGTGCTCAAAGCTTCTGTGTTTCAATTCTGTTAGAAGAGATCGGGTGGAAGTCTGGTTTATTTTTCGTAGTTAATTATGTAATTATTCTTCTACTTCAAAATAACAAGGAAACTAATATGCCTGCTTTCGTATGACTGGCACGATAGGCTGCTCTATGTGCGTTTGACCCTTTTTTCAACACTGCTTTATCTGCGATGCACGTATAGGCTACGATCCTTTCTTCAAACAAAAATACCCAAAATAACAGCAGTGTCAGTGAGAAGCTAAAAATCTAAATTTGGTCAACTTTACCAATTTTCTGAAGCCAAGTATCTTAGAATACGGAACACTAAGAAAGCACGTTGCTCCAGCATGAGAGGAATCCCTAATCATTTTAATACCCTCGGCGCTGGATTGCTGTGTCCAGTTTGGAAAAAAAGACTGCTAAAATATTTCTAATCTGTTGAGAAAAATGCCTAAGTGCGCGACTTACTAGAAGGAATTGGATATAACAATTCCAGTATTTTCATCTTTACTAAACTCACTTGTTTGCTTGCGTAGAAAATTTGGTCAGTGTGAACAAAAAAGGGAACTTAAATGTAGGCATATTAAATACGGAATACTTCAGTAAATGGGTTAATTATTTTATCCAAAACAGCATCTGAGAATATACCATCTTCTCCAGGAATTCATTTTTTGGCCTGTAATTTATGTTAAACAGAGGTAAAAGTTGTTCAAGCACAAATAATTACATATCATATTTGTACGTCCTAAGCACAGGTGTTTCTCGTTATCATCTAATCTGCAGATAGCAGGATCATTTTGGCAGGCGAGATATGAGATGCTTTTCAGCTTAGCCGTGATTGCTGTACCGAAGTTCTACTCGCGCCTACAGCTGATCAGATAGCGGCGGGATTTGAACACTTGCACCCGATAGGTTAGTTAATTAGCTCTAATATTTATTCTTATTATTATCCACATCACCATAGGTCACATCAGGTTGATTGGGCAAAAATTTAAAGTTCCGGCTTTGGAGATTTCGCAGGAGGAGTTTTATCCACTATCACAAAAAAATTAGGCAAATAAGCAAACAACTGAATATTAAGGGGCTAGTAGGTAAAATGTGCTTCCAAAATTAGGAGGGAAACGTATGCTATCAATTAAAAATTTTTTATATTGTGCGAACTGTATTTTAATTTTGTTGTATCATTTTTTAGATCGATTAGGTTTATTTATATTTATGTAGTAAGATAGAATATGAGAGCTTCGTTTGCGCGACTCTTTTAATTCCGTGGTAATATTGGAATTCATTAAAATGCTGAAGCAATATGTAAATATTCACGAACGGACAGATTTAATCTTCCCAAAAGTTCACAGGTTAAGCCACTTGTTTTGCTTTGTTTTCAATGTGCTTTACTGCTAGATGACCTGACTCCTAATTCTGAAGTGATTTTATTGGTCCAACGCAATCAGCCAATAGCGAACGCCCAAGTGAGATCACATTATAAGCGGCATAAAAGTGGTGTAGCATCGGTAAAAATGTCAAAATATGGAAGACAGACCGTTCCCACTGATGCAGCCGTCTGGATTCACCCAGTTACCAGAATGATTGCCCTTTTCCTCTTTTTTCTCCAGCGCCTACTGCTGGGAGTGCAGGCATTGAGAAACACCAACGGTCTGAATGCCGGTTTCATCAACTTCATCGTTTCGGAGGGTGCGGCTGTTGGCGAAGTGGTGGGTGTATTAAACGCAGCCGACCTCTTTAACTTCTCCTCCCTCCACAGAGCTACCACTGAAGACAAATCAAAACCCTCCGCCTGGTTCGTCCTTCAGGACACCACCTACTTTGGACTCAGAGGTCCTGATCAACAGACGGTGGTGGTAAATCGACTGCTCGATCGAGACACTGATCGCAAACTCTGTACTGGGCCTGATTGGCCGGAGATCTGCGCTTGGTCGGGAGTGCTTTTTGCACGCAATGGAATTGTCCTGAGTTTGCGCATTACGGTGACAGATGTGAATGATAATATCCCCCAGTGGCCCGAATCCAGTCTCAGCAAATCTCGCGCTGCCGAACACAAGGAGGCCGCCATTGAGCTGTTTATCGCCGAAAATTCCCCGCCCAACAGCGTTTTTGATCTACCTCTGGCAGAGGACAGAGACTACGGCAAAAATGGCATAGTTAAGTATGAACTGGTTCAGGGGCGTGCCGGCAGTGAAGTGGTGGGCCTCTTTGCGCTAGAATGCGTGCCCGGACCCAATGGTGTGATCCCCCGGATCAAAGTTCTCGGGGCACTGGATCGTGAATCACAGGAGGAGTACGAGATGGAGATTGTGGCCTTGGATGGTGGTGGTCAGCGCGGCACGGCGTGCCTACGGTTGTACATAATGGATGAAAACGACAATGCGCCGGTGTTTAAATACCTGCAAAACCTGTCACCTGAGGAGGCCCAACGGACCCGCTTCACAATTGATATCAACGAATCTCTGCCGGTGGGATTTGTTCTGCCGGAACACCCTGTAGCCACTGATCTCGACGCTGGCGATTTCGGCCATGTACGCTACCGTTTCGCTCTCTCCACACCCCACTTTGTGCGACGGGATTTTGCCATTGATGCGGGGACAGGCAGTATCATTGTGCAGAATGCTCTCGACTGCGATGCCGGGGGCATCTCTGAGTATGCTTTTTCCGTGATTGCTGAGGATGGCGGCACACAGTCGCTGACCGCGGTGGCAAATGTGGTCATTCATGTACAGGATACGAATGACAACCCACCGCTGATTACAGTCACACCAGTCAAGCCGCTGCCGCTGGATTCCGCCTACTCCACGGAGGATTTGCAGTCGGAAGATGATGACTCGAAAGATGGGTTTGGGCTAATTGAAGAGAGTCCGTCTGGTCAACTGATTGCGACAGTAGCTGTGAACGATCCGGACGCAGACCTTAACGGGGAGTTTACCTGCGAGCTGAGTGAGGCGCGAGACTTTAGCCTGAAATACCGACCCCTTCTGAGATCAACGACAGTCTTTCAACTCTTGTCGGCACGCCGGTTTGACCGGGAAGCCGAGCCCACAGCCTCAGTGACAATAATATGCACAGACAAGGGCAGACCCGTGCAGGTTTCGCGAAAACAACTCCTGGTCAGCATAATTGATGTGAACGACAACCAGCCGCAATTCGTAAGGACTCACTACGAAATTTCGGTAAATTGACTTCAATGTTTTTTTGAAAACAATTTTCATTTCAATTCTTCGCGTATTCTGCTAACATATTTTGGAGCCGTGTGTTTGAATACCTTATAAGTATTTAGAGGACTGCTAAAGTTAGCTGTGTCAAAACGTTGTGATAATTTCTCTGCAGACGGGAACAGGTCGGTTTTATTATTTAGCTGTTTACTGTGATACTTGACAGATGGTCTCCTTAAGCCGAAAATATAGAAGGTTAGAACTGCCCTTTCTGAGGACAAAACATCTGTCAGGTTTAACCGAGGGACTTTGAACTTCCGTTGTGATCAAAGACATGCACCCTTAGAATTGAGACGGAAACAAAGGCAAATAATTTTTTGAAACCGCATCTAACAGATTTTACCTTTCTCTACACTCTAGAGGTAAGAATCAAAACTCTTTTTACCGAGAGGAAATCTAAAACCTCTGCCATATTGCAGACCAAATAAGACAAAAAACTCTTCCCACTTCCATGAAAAATATAGTTTACTTATTTGACTCAATTCTGATGAACTTAACAAATCCGATGGGATTCAAGCCATGAAGGAATAGACAAGGTTTGATTGCAGCCAAACTACCTCTCTAGTCTACTGAAACATTTGGAATCCATCTACTTTAATACAGTAAGCCGAGTGCCGAGGCAGGTGGGCCCTCGTAGTTTAGCTAGTCAGAGCATTGACTGAAGACAGACCTTGCGCTTATTATTTTGTGTGCAACTTTCTCCGAGACCACTAAGGTTTCCACATTTGGGTCAAATAACTTATTCAAATGCATCAGAGCACCCATTACTTATCGTTACATTAGTTTCCCTAAACCCTATTGACCAGAGGGAGTATTTTTCCGGAAAAATCTTCTTTGAGACGCTTGAGTTCGAAAGAAAAGAAATAATTCTTAGACGCGTCCAATATTACAGGGCGCTGTATAGCTCTAAAGAGCTAACTTCAAATTCTGGCTTTACATTCCCGTCTTTCTGTTCTTTTCTATTCCGATGCAAAAAATTACAATCCAGTACTTTCACAATATCTGAGAGTACACAGTCCCTTAAGAAAAAGCGAGCGTTTACTCGTCAGGTCCTTTGGGTATTTCCACTGACACGCTTATTGCTAATGACAGACAACGTCTATGAGGCGTCTCAAGGGCAAATATTCGTCGCTCGGTCGCATGCTTCCTTCTTTTACTAAATACCACGAGTGTTTTGCTCAGGCTAGTAAGCACCTAATAAGGTTATGGAGAGAATATTACAGCCTAAAAATTTAGAATAAATTTTCCGTGGAGCATTTATACAGAACTCGGGGAAATGTTTAAAACAACATCTTAAATACCTTATAAGTTTTTATATTTCTCATTAAACTTCAGTAGAAGGGATTTCACCGCTTTATGATCTTTTGCATAAAACCCGATTAACCGAATGGTTTTGTTGATTTTTGGCAGCATTAGCTTATGTAGGCCCACTCATATAGCCCTATTCCCAGCATCTTGTCCCCCAAAAACGGTTTTTATAGAGTATTGGATGGTGAGGAAATGGGATAGGCAGAGAAGGAAATTTTTAGAAGTAAGTGTAAAGTGAAAAAAATGTAGTCGATGTTGCTTCCCGCGGCCGCTGGGAGTAAGTTGTTCCGCTTGTAAATTGAAGGAGTGCGCGGCGCTTCGCGC